TACGAACTTTAGTACAGAGGCTACCCAACACTTGAACTTCTAGAGGTAATTGGGCATATTTTTCAAGTGTTGGGTCAGACCACTTGACAGGTAATTTGAACCATTGCAGAAATGATGTCTTTTTGTTGGAGAAATTAGTCTGGAAAGCTATTTGTTCAGCCTGCTCTGCTTGAATCACTTAAATGACCAACTGAAGCCCTATCCTTTCTTCTTTTACTGGATTTATTATTTTTCTTGCATGCCATTTCTTATGCATGCATGCTGCTTTTGCTTTTATGCACTGAGTCTCCCTATCTCTCTCACTCCCCTCCCTGATTCTCTCTAGCTTTTCCTCATGTCTGTGTTAGCCATCTCTCCTTTCCTTTCATTATTAAGCATTGAATATTACAAACAGCTTCTGGTATTGTTGATTGTTTGAAAAAGAAACCATCACTAATGATCTACTCTGCCTACTTCCCCATTTACCATTGTGCCAATTTCTGTTTTGGCACTTAGGAACATAGGGCAGCCTGACTCCAGTTTCTGTGTTTCAATACAGTCATGCTGCTTGAGCACTTCAATGCCTTTTACTATCAATCTTCACCTTAAACAATCTCAAAAACTGAGCCTCCGTAGCCTGCTGTGGTAGAGAATTCTAGAGGTTCACAGCCCTCCAAGTTTTAAAAAAAAATTATCCTCATTTCAAACCCAATTGGCATCCGCCTTATTTTTAAATTATGCCCCAGTTTCTAGGTTACCAAACTAAGGGGAACTTCTTACCTGCACTGACCTCGTCTACCCCTTTAGTAATTTTGTAGACTTTAATGAGGACTTGTTCACTTCTAATCCCAAGTTCATCCTGGCCTGTTCAAAGTAATGAAGCACCATTTCTTTTTTCTAGCAAGGCTGTCCTCGTGTACACTTTGTCCCTTCTGCTCAAAACTATTATTGTACTCTAACTCCACTTAACTTTTCCCTCAGACCAGCCCTCTGTCTCCTTAATATTAGCAGGAAAAGGAACACAGTCACTACCTGCCAGATATTTGACCTGTTGGTTTTGCTTCATGCTGTGTACCACCTGAAAATTACAATTAACAGTCAGCAATAGCAATTCAGTATGCCTGTAACCAAAATATAACTACCTTTGGTTCATATTACATTTGCTGCCACCCACTCCTTCACCTCATCTGTTTCAAATTCATGCTCAGCCTCGCGTATCTAATCAATAGTGCTCCTTCTCTATGAGTCTCGGGCCTCAACCTCACCAGCACATTTCCCTTCCCAAGCACCAGTGTTATGCTGAGATAACAAGGTGTAGAGCTGGATGAACACAGCAGGCCCAAGCAGCATCAGAGGAGCAGGAAAGCTGACGTTTCGGGCCTAGACCCTTCTTCAGATTCTCCAGCATCTGCAGTTCCTACTATCTCTGAACCAGTGTTATGCTTGGGGTTTCTCCATGTTTATGTCATAAGTACTAAAGTCTTAACTGTTGTTTGTCATCACTCTTCTTCTGATCTATCACTGCTTGTATATTTCATGTCCATGATTCTACTTCTGCCCTAACATTAGGACAGCCATTCACCATGGGTCACAACATCAAAACTCTGGACCCACCAATCCCAATCACTGTAGCTTGGACCCCGATTGCTTCCCATTCTTATCTGTCAACTTTTCAAATGTGAATCCTCTATTTCCTATCCATCTTCCTCCAACTCTACACTTGATTTTCTCTTACCCATGCATGTTGCTGCACGTCCACATAATCATCTTCATCCAATCCAATCACTTGCTTTAAATTACTTATGTATTATCAGTTGCCTTATCTGTCCATAAAGTTGGTGGAGTTTACTGCTGGAGAAAGTTAAAATCTACAAATTAAGTAAGAGATATATTGGAAGAGGATTTTTAAAAGAGAAAGGGAGAGAGAGATATGTAGGGATTATTACAAGAATTGTCTGAGAATCAAGAAGTGTGTAGTAGATGAAAAATAGCAGGAAACGTGGATTCAGGGATTGGGTGGCAATTGTATTACACCACTCAGCTTAAACCTTTCCCTTTGGCCAACATCCAACATATCTCACTGTCTCCCTTCTATAAGTCACTTTTCTGTCTCTTCTGGCCCCGTTACACCTTGCTTGTACTTTATACATTTTCAAAAGTTGGACAAACTATAAAGTGGAAGCCAATAGTGATTAATTGGAAGTCAGTATTAAATACTGGAAGAAGAGAAATAACTTTCTTCCCATAAGCGGGCATGTGACATTATACGGTTTTACTGCTGTCCTAAAATTTTTACTGATGTTGAGCCAAGCAGTTTGAGGAAAGGATGCGGTTGAGGTTAGAAAGAGTAATTGCTGTTGACATTTGACAAATGATATCTATTTTAAACAAAACGCGATTGCACAAGATGTTAGATTGAGATTCCGTTCTCTTCCAAGCAACTCCCCACCCAGATTTGGAAATATATCACTGTTCTTTCAATTTCCCTGAAACACTGCCTTAATGGTATTGTAGTTCTACCTATGCCAAAACGGACTGCAGTGGTTCAAGAAGGCAGCTGACCACCACATAGCTTCTCAAGGGGAAATGAGGATGGGCAATAAATACTGGCTCAGCTACTGACACTCGCATCTTAGAATTTTTCAAAGACCTCCTTCTTTATTAAAAATACTGTGGCGATGTTTGAAAACCAAGGAGTTTTGCTAATCCAGCACCATTATTTCTCTTTCATCCCAAGTTGTCAAAGGGAATTAACTGGTCATTAGTCTCATTACTTTGCATATTACTGGTTCAAAATGGCCACTGTTGCTTACGCAGTTGTTATTTGACTCCAGAGCAAGTCATCGTATGTGAAACACTTTGAGATACTTGAACATGAGAAACTTTAATACGAATGCAAAGTATCTTTATAATTAGCAAGCTCCTGGTTAGAAAAATAAAGATACACTCAAAGACATGCACATAGCATTAACATTACAGCCAAAAGGTATCCCTGTTATCCATTCATACTGAAAATTATAGATCTTCACGGCAGTTGTTAAAAACATCATTTTTGCTGAAACTGAAATGAAGATCTCATTTGAAGAACCACTAGTCACATTTTAAGATACACTTGAAAATTGCAGTTTATTTTTAAGAAAACTTGCATTGTCTTTTTATTTGAGAAACACAAAAGTTTGAATGTGGTTCCATACATAGAAGCAGCATCTTTTGTTTAAAAAATGTCAAATGTGGCATTCCGTATACCATAATGGCAATGTCTAGGCTTCAAGAAGCAACCCTATATACGTATAGAATTAAACGCAGCCATACTGGCAATGCATTAGTTCACAAGCACAGACTTAAAAATTCTGAGCACTGCTGGGCTTGTTGTAACATGAAATCTACAGTGTAGCTATAGCAACGGTGCACTTTCAATGCGAACATCTTGTCATTTTCTTTAATCCGTTGCAGCTGTGGAACCAAAAAATTAAATTGGTGTTGCTATAGTTACCATCTTTGTTGCATCAACCACTTTTGTGCCCAGTTTCCTGCTGCTTTTTAACATTCAGAGACATTCCAGATTCTCTTTGTTTGAAAAAAAATAGCCAAGCAACTCATGAAGTTATACAGTGAGATTTAAGGAGGTTCAGTTTTAACCCTAACGTTACTTAGCTCAACTGGATTTGCCAGTTTTGCTACTAATCTGTAGAGAATAACAATTTGCAATAATTTAACACTATTAATGTGGTGCAGTGTCCCAAGGTGCTTTATAGGAGTTTTATCAAACAATTTTTAATATTGAACCGCAAAAGAAGATTGTCAGAACTCCAGATGGTGACATTTTCATATTAGTGCAATGTATAATGTGAGTTAATGTTAATATTTTTATTTTCTGGGTCTGCCTATGTTGTAAGTAGTTTCATTTACAACCTTTGGCTTTAATCACTGTTTTTTGGCACAGTGAGGGAGAGTCTAACAGAATGTGTTTTTTTTTGCAGCTTTCTGCTTCATTCCTCTGATGTTACCCCTGTTATATAAGATTCTGTATTTTGAGATGAACTCACTTGAATTAAATTAATCTAGGTTTTATATTTTCAGATACTTTTTAATTGCTGTATTTTCTGTAACTTATGCCAGCATATAATGTACTAAAGGAAATACAAGGTAGAATATGTTATATTGAAAACATATTTTTGTTTCTAAATGCAGAACATAGACTACTGATTTTCAAATCACAAAATTGACCACTCGGCTCATTGTGTCTGTTCTGGCTCATCAAATAAGCATGATTACCTACTGCCAATTCCCTAAATGTTCCTATACCCTTGCACATTATTCAAATAAACATCCAGTACTCTCTTGAACGTCTTAATGGAGCCAGCCTCCATTACACTTCCAGTCTTTGCATTCCATATCCTAACTACTTGCTGTGTAAGAAAGCTTTTTCATGCATAATTTGCTCCTTTTACAAATCATTTTAAACCTGTGCCCTCTCGTTTTTGATTCTTTTAAGAGCGGGAACAGTTTCTCTTTATCTGCTGTATCAAGTCTGCTCATTATTTTGAAAATCTCCATCAGTTTTCCTACAAGATGCTTTTCTTCAAGAACAGTCTCAACTTCGTCAGTCTATCCTCAGCTGAAGTTCCTCTTCTCTGAAACCATTCGTGTAAACCACTTGTGTACTTTCTCGAATATATTCACATCCTTCCTACGATGTGGCGCCCAGAACTGTGCACAGTGCTCCAAATGAGGTCTAATAAGTGCCATATACAAGTTCAACATTATCTCCTTGCTCTTGTACATTATGCCCCTATTAATAAAACTGGGGACACTGCAAGCTTTACTTACTGCTGTCTACACCTTTCCTACTACTGTCAATGATCAATGCACATATGCACCCAGATCCCTCTGCTCCTGCATCTGCCTTAGGATTGCACTCTATAATTTACGCTGTTTTTCATTGTTCTTGCAAACATATCTTGTTTGGGGTGCAGTTGCTGATTTCTTCTTTTTTTACATATAATTATTGTCTCTTGCAGGAGGCTGAATAGCACGCAGGGAGAAATCCGTGTGGGGCCCAGTCATCAGGTAGGGGAACTGTTGGATATTTCCCATTATTGTCATAATCTTCGCATGTAGACGTATTTATAAAATCTGAAAGATAAAATCATATTACCTAAGTATTTTTTGTGAAATATGGAATAGTACCTTAGTTAAAGTTGGACGTAAGGCTGAGTTGCAACTGCTGTCGGCACCCATTAGAGTTGTTGAACCCAAACAAATTTGAATCCTCCCCTTAAGAAGGGTGGATTGTTACATTGAGTTGCATCTATGTGCCCTTGAAAGAGAGTACTTCCTGCATAATGACTAAGATTGAATATCCCAAGGGTAATATCAAAGGGAAATATGATGTGCAGAGTTTATACCTGGAGATATTTATGCATTAGGAGCACCAACAACAGTGAGGAAGGGATAGTAAATCCTTTGTATGTTCTGAAATTTTGTGTGTCCAGACCTTTTTAATAATGTCAATAACGATGAAAGAGTCTTTGATTTCATCCCTCTGAGAGGTGCTGATGACAACACTTGGTAGAGGGGAGTAACAAAGAAAGAAGCAGAGAGAAACCCTGAATCGTATCAGTCAGCATTGCAGTAACTTGGGTAAACACAGTCATTGCATCATTATGACCACAATACTTTACCATAATGGAGTTCAGTTTATTGTGCAAAGTGTATTTGTAGATGCTGGCTTTGCTCATTCTGCTTTTCACGATGCCATCACACTCTTTATGCAGGCACAAATGAACCTTTTTAAACTGTGTCGGGAATTAATGTTCATTGATACAAGATTTACAAAATTCAACATAATGTTTTATTTATTTTGCCAACTTCCTATTTAAGAACATAAAGAACAATAAACACAAGTCAAATTATTCAGATACTGTATCAGAAGGATCTTAAATTTTGTCGAACAATTTTAAATTGTAACCATGTTTATTTAGCAAAGTAAATTCATTTTACTTGATATCAAGATTTTATACTTCTTCCTCTTTCAGTTGTTCTCTGTCTAACTTGCATAGCTATTTAAAGCATCCCATGTGGCATATATTTAAGAAAAATGAGAATGTCTGCTCTTTGCCAATTGTTTTGACAAAAGGCTCATGGATTGTGATTTAATAATTTGGAATCAATTTTATTATCCAGCTGCCAACATCTTGGTCATGTCCAGAAATCATGGGTTAGACCAGAATTGATCAGCTGAACGAACATCAATCTCTTCTGAATCTTTCACTGTATAGTCTGCATCCTCCCCCAAAAATAAGTGTTGGGGAACTTTGATAATTTATACCCATTAACATTGACATGGAGCATAGGTGGAGATGAGTTTCTTCAGATGCCAGTCCTAATGCTACAGATAGAAGAGTCATACAGTTGTATAGCGTGGAAACAGACCCTTCGGTCCAACTTGTCCACGCTGACCAGATGTCCTAAACTGATCCCGTTCAGTTTGGCCCGTATCCCTCTAAACCCTTCCTGTTCATTTACCCATCCAGATGGCTTTTAAATGTTGTAATTGTACCAGCCTCCACCGCTTCCTCTGGCAGCTTGTTCTATGCACACACCTCCTTCTGTATGAAAAAGTTGCCCCTCAGGTCCCTTTTAAATCTTTGCCCTCTTATTTAAAACCTATGCTGTCTAGTTCGGACTCCCCTACCCTAGGAAAAAGACCTTGGCTATTCACCCTATCCATACCCTTCATGATTTTATAAACCTCCATAAGGTCAACCCTCAACCTCCGATGCTCCAGGCAAAAAAACCCCAGCAATTTCAGTCTCTCCCTGTAGCTCAAACGGTCCGATCCTGGCAGCATCCTTGTAAATGTTTTCTGAACCCCTTCAAGTTTAACAATGCCCTTCCTGTAGTGGAGAGACCAGAATAGAAAGCAGTATTCTAAAAATGGCCTCACCAATGTCCTGTATAGCCACAACATAACATCCTAACGCCTATACTCAATACACTGAGCAATAAAGGCAAGCATGTCAAAGCCACCTTTACTATGTTGTCTTCTTGCGACTTCACTTTCAAGGAACTGTGCATCTGCACCCCTAGGTCTCTTTGTTTGGCAACACTCAGCAGGACCTTACCGTTAACTATAAAAGTCCTGCCCTGGTTTGCCTTACCATAGTGCAACACCTCACATTTATCTAAATTAAACTTCATCTGCCACTCTGGCCCATTGGCCCATCTGATCAAGGTCCTGTTGTATTCCGAGATAATCTTGTTCACTGTCCACTACACCACCAATTCTGGTGTCATCTGCAAATTTACTAACCATACTTCCTATATTCGTATCTGAATCATTTGTACAAAAGGCAAAAAACAGTGGACCCTGCACAATCCTTGCGGCACTCGTCACAGGTCTCCAGTCCAAAAAACAACCTTCCACACCACCTTCTGTTTCCTACCTTCAGGCCAATTTAGTATCCAATTGGCTAGCTTCCCCTGGATTACAGATGATCTCGTCTTGCTAACCAGTCTACCATGCGGAACCTTGTTGAACACCTTGCTGAAGATCATATAGACAGCATCATCTATCTGCCTTCATCAGCCTTCTTTGTCACATCTTCAAAAAACTCAAATCAAGTTCGTGAGACACGACTTCTCACGCACAAAGCCATGTTGACTATCTCTATTCAGCCCATGCCTTTCCAAATGCATATAAATCCTGTCCGTCAGAATCCCCTGCAACAACATGCTCACGGCTGACCGGACCCGAAACGTTAACTCTGTTTTCTCCTCCACAGATGCTGCCAGACCTGCTGAGCTTTTCCAGCAACTTTGTTTTTGCTCACCACTGACGTCAGGTTCACTGGTCTCTTGTTCCCTGGTTTTTCCCGACCACCTTTCTTAAATAGTGGCACGACATTAGCCACCGTCCAGTCCTCCAGCACCTCACCTGTGGGTGTTGAAGATACAAATACCTCAGCAAGGAGCCCAGCAACCTCTTCCTTAAAGCACACAAAGCAATTTTTTTGTAATCTAACTGATGCTAGAAGGTATCTTGAAGGTCTGTTTGGCGTATTTGCTTCCTAGAGAGTTACTGAATAGCAAGAAAGATGTCAGTTTTTATCTGTAATCTTTGAGAAGTTACCTCATCTCGGTTTGGTGTCACTAGATGTCCTCTTAAAATCTGATGAATGAATAAATTCATTCTTGTGGACTACATTCAGCCAACTCCTGATATTTCTGATGGAATAATTAGTTTGCCAGTCATTTGAATCAGTCATTGAAGAAATATTGGCATACATGGCATTGAACTCAAGTAGAAGTTAGCTGAAAGGAGCTGGTAAACAATTAGCTCTACTATACTATAGGATCATTTGTCTGTTCGGTTGCTTCTTTTGACATCCTTTGGGGTAATATCATGCAGCATATTCAGTCATTCACTGTGACTGGCAAGCGCATAGGAAACATGCCTTGGATGATTCAAATGTAAATCTCTCTATTTCAGATTCACATCAAGAAAAATATAAATTCTTCAAGCATTCTGTACCAAATTTTAAATTGGCAACAATTTTGACAGTTGAAGTTCTATAACCTCCTGTCCAATCTAGTGACAGAAACTCACCCTTCCTTACTTAATGTGATCTCTGTCAAGAATCTATGGTGAAAGGTTAGTCAGATCTAACCACAGTGAATTATTGGGTTCTGAAAGCCTGCTTGAACATCTGGTGCTCTACATTTATCGCAAAATTTTTAAAATGAATTCAGTGAGTATGTGAGAAATCATGGCTCACATTTTATAGTTCACTTGTTTTGATATGATATTCAAACAAGGGGATTCTACCAAGCACAAAACCCGTGGTCATCTCGTAACAGAATAGGCCAGAATTTAAAGTGATGTGGAAAGTTTCTTTTCCTTTTCACAATCATTTTTGTTCCACAACCATTTTTTCTAAGGAATTCATTTTGGGAACTTAATGCAAATTCAGAATTTAGGTGTAATATCTGCTCTCCCTGATATTTTGTTTTGCATGTTTCTGGTGCCTTTCTCAGACCTACCTGTAGCTTTGCTGTTTGGCATTTGTAAGGTGATCTCTTGCAATTGGATTGCTGATCTGCTCATGAGAAGTACTGTTCTAAATATGGTACAGCGAAGTAAATATCGTCTATAGATGAATATAGACTGCTTCTCCAGTTCCAGTTCCTCAAGAGGTAGAAACTATGCAAGTAAGCGGGATATTGCAGAACTGGACCAGACTATTGCATTCTACATCAAGATTTTCTATGTTCTGGAGCATCTTTTTGGAAGACTGCATTTGGAATTATTCTGTCGTTGAAACTCAGATCTTTTGCCTGTGTGCTCAATTTGGGATAACAGCAACCTTATGCTCAAAATTTTCTTATCTGCAAAACAATGTTGGTGTAAGTGTTGAGTCAATTCAGAATTCCAGCTGTTCTGAATCTGTAGCTTTCAATTAGGTCTTCACAAAATGTAGTTTAAACAGGTCACTGTGCCAGATCTGTGTGGTATACTGATGACCACCAATTTCCATTTCATTGTGTTGCAGCTGATTATGCAAGATTTACATTCGAGGGTTAACGCATCACATTAGTTGTGACCAGTTCTCGCGTTTTGCACAAGAAGCTGGGTTTAATCAGTCAATGATATGTCCCTAGGCTTCCAGCATCACTGTGGCTCGAATAATACAAGTTATCCAGGTGATTATTGCCAGGCAGATGGTTAATGTGAAAATCAAGAGGTGTGCGGTCTTAGGTGGCTTTATCATGAAACTTGATGTCTGAATGTGTTTGTGTTAATAAGGTAATTTTGTTAGCTTCCTTAGGTTGCAGAGGCAAGTTTGACATGATGGAGTTTATGTTTCTACTGTAGTCAAGAGGAATATAGCAAATCAAATAGTAAGGTTTAATTCATGCCCCTGGATGGGACCCTCTGGGCTGAGATGGTTTTAAATTATCATACCTTTTGATGAAATATTAGAACCAAATTAATATTTGAAGTAAACATAATAATTGTTTGAAACAAGCAGGCCCATCCACAATATTTCAGTCTGCTGCTGAAGAAT